AGTTGTAAGTCACATAGTAGTATGAGGCGATCCGGCCGAGCTCTGTACTTTGAAATCGACCTGACGACCTCTGGTACTTGATGAGTTGACACTTCACCAGAAGGGCGGCGGCGGAGTGAGCTCAGCGCGCTTCTGGACTAAGGCACCGTCATCCTCCTGGTAGTCGACGCCTACACTGTACAAGGGCGACTTGAGCATGCGAATGTAACTACAAACGAGTGTTAGCTTCGTTGGAGAAGAGGAGAAAAGGAAGTTACGCACAGGTAAGTATAGGCAAGCCATTGAACGGCTTCATCACGATTCCGAACGGTCCCAAGCACGATCTCAGTGTTGAGGTTATCCGCCAGCTTCGAGACAAATTGAGATTCGATGGGCAGCTGCTGGTTCAGCAGGCTGAGATAGTACTGCATCTCCGAGTGGTCAGTGATGACGATGCCCTCTCCAAAGGTGTCATATTGCGGACGACCGGCGCGACCAAGCATCTGGAGGACGTCTTGAGAAGAGAGCTCCACCCAGCGACCCTTCTCTGGGTTGTAAATCTGCGTTCCCTTGATGATAATGGTACGGGCAGGAAGATTGACTCCCCAAGCCAATGTCGCCGTGCAAACCAGGACCTGGATAGATCCGTCCGCAAACAACTCTTCGACAAGTCCACGATCCTCCCTTGACATTCCAGCGTGATGAAAGGCGAAGCCGAATGGCAAGAGATCTCTGAGATTGCTGTCCTTCACGTTGGCAGCTTCTTCCGTCAAGATCTCTCGAACGGCACCGTCAGGCTTCACGAATTGGGTGATCGTCTCCTTCTCGATGGCTGTGTCTCTCAGAAACCTGGCGGTCTTCGCAGTTTCTTTCCGAGAGTGAACGAAGAAAAGCGTCTGGTTCTTGCCCGCCTGGTCGAGCACCTTTTCGTCGCAGACTTCATTGGTGATCTGGTGCCGCTTAATTGCTTTCTTCTCCGTGACACCAATAAACTGTTGTTGAAGACCGCAAGGCCTATATGACGCGTCGAAGTAGAAGAGACCCTTCTTCTCATCAACACGAAGGAAGGTCGCAGCGTCCTCGTAGTTGGGCAATGTGGCCGAAAGGCTAAGGAGTCGGACGAACTCGGATCGTTGTTCAGCCCATCTGACAGTCCGGGCGATGATGCTTTCCAAAACAGGTCCTCGCTCGTCGTGGAGGAGATTGATTTCTTCGATGATACGCACGAGGTTGGTGTAAGAAGTGTCGGTCATTTTCCTCGTGATGACATCCCATTTCTCCGGAGTGGTAACGATGATCTGGGTCTCTGCAATCTGCTGTTTGGTCATTTGGGAGTCGCCAGTAAGCTCGCCGACTTTGATTCCAAAGACCTTGAGCCGGGCTGTGAAGTTTCCGACCATCTCGTGGACAAGGGCCTTCATGGGAGCGACATAGACAATCTTGAAAGCGTCCAGGTCGAACGTTCCGGTCTCTTCGTCACAGTGCTTGGCAAGTTCATTGAGAATTGTCAACATGGCGACGTTTGTCTGAGAGAGCGACGATTAGGAGTTGAAGCGTCATACCAACATAGAAGACGTACCTTCCCAGCACCGGTCGGTGCACAAAGCAGTATCGGTTCGTCTGTACCGGAAGCAATGGGGAAAACCTTGCTCTGAACGCGATTAAGCTTAGGAACAGTGAACGCCTCGCGAGCCCAAGCTGGTAGGGCAGTTATGGGAACAAAGTCGCCTTCCGTCGTAGGCTTCTGCTTTGGGGCAGGGACATGAATTTCCTCGTAACCCTTCTTCGCCCGCTTGAACAACCATCTGGCAGTTTGCGCTTCTTGTTCGACATCAGGTGCCCGCCCTGGCTAAACGCCATGCTATCGAGATCCACTGTCCGTTGAGGTTGGACGATAGAGCCTGGCGCAACAGTTGCCGTCTTTACCTCAATCTTGGGCTCATCACCATCCATGGCATCTGAACGAGGCTTCGCTTGCCTGTCACCTGCCAGCTCTCGAAGAATCCACCCAACTCCCTTCTCGCGCATAGCAACCTCAACATTGACGCGTTCATCAGCGTCGCTACGCATCAGTTTGGTGCACCACACGACGACGTCGCGATTTTTGAGGAATTTGGCGGTAATGTGGAAGCTCTGGAAGTCGAAGAGTTCCATGAGCTGATTCTCGCAGTCACGGGCGCTTGATTCGGATCCAAGGATGCTGAGGACGGAGGTGGTTTTTTCTGCGGCGGTGACAGGGTCGGGGTAGACTTCGAATATCTGGCGTTGAACCCAGAAACCGTCGATGGAATGTGGGGAAACAATGTCCTTGTCAGCTTTGACCTTCCGTGATGAGTCGCCTCCTATGATAAGCTCCTCCCCCGCACCATCCTCGACGGTTCCCTCAGGAGCAGCTTCCTGTCCCTCTTCTTCTTCCTACGATTCTTCAACAATCTCAAAGCCCTCCTCTTCCTCTTCCTCCTGCTCCTCCTCGTCGAAGATGACAGCTACTCCAACTCCCTCATCAATCTCAGCGTCCTTCTTCTCTATGTCGTGATCGGCCATTGACTCGTCTTCAGCGTTGTAATCCGTTATCTTCTTTGAAAGGCTGACAAGCTGTGAGAACTGCTCACTCGGGATGGGACCAGTGACCTCCTCAATCTCCTTCTTTTTGTCGAAATCTTTCATCCCCTCGTTTTTGAGTGTCTCCAGCACCGAATCAGCAGCGCTCTGCACAATGTCCTGCGCCTAGTCCCCGAGCGCAGCGTGAACGGAAGAAAGAATAAGTTCGTAGACTTCCCACGTTTCCGCGGTCCGTGGACGATACGTGAGGCCTTCAACATCTTGCGTCGCCTCGATGATGTTCGCGTACCCAAAGCTGCGGCAGTTTCAAACTTGCGTTTGGCTGTTGGCCTCTCAGACCCATCGTTTTTGTCGGAAGACTTTTTCTTCTTCTTCCCGAGGTCTTTTGGGGCCTGTCGTACGACTCAAGAGCCCATTTCCCGAACGTCGATTCGGCCAGCAAGCGAAGTTGGCGCACCATCAGGTTCCTTGTCTCGACGCGGCAGAGCTGACCTATCCGAAAGATGTTTTCCGTGGCCAGCCATCGTTGTCGTGGATGTGGGCGTGAATAGTTGTTGAAAATTCTGAGCGGGGGCGAAACAAAAATAATCATTAGAACTAGACGTCACCTGGCAATGTGCGCCAAGTCAGGGTGCAGAACTGTCGCTCGGTGATCGGACCATCCCCTTTTGGGATGGTGTCACGTGCTTTCGCGCCCTTCCTCTTGCGCCGTCCTCATTTCAGGTCGACCGCCCGTGACCCCGTGCCTGATGCGGGCCTCAAAGATGAAGAAGCTTCGTTGGAGAATGCCACTCAGCAAACTCAAGAGGAGCGAGAGCAGATTCTTCAATGGGTGAGTGCATTCTACCGAATCTACGACCTTGTCTTTCAAGTCTAGTAGTACTAATTAATCATGTTAGGCAAGAGACATTGTCAAGAAATATCCCTACCAGCCACGGGCAGTGCGACGTGAAGCTGCTCATGTGAGGGAACTTTCCTTTAGTGAATGAAATCACTAAAAGATACCACAGCGTCGATTGAATTTATGTGAACTAGGGGGGCTCTGGCAATAGAATGCCAGACCTATACCCGGTTAGTTAGTCCAGCTGATGGTCTTGCTGATGGTCCGAAAAAAAAAATGGAGGTCTCGACAACTAAAGCTCAGAATTCCTCCTGGACCTCCACATGTCAGTGGTGACGGCCCACGAGCATTTGATATCCTGTACAGTCGCGGACAAACAAAGTCGCCAAAAAAAATAAACTTTTATTGATACCTCCGAAAACCATCGGGATCGATAGATACACACTTAAGGCCCTTCCTGGTAGTGTTGCCGCAAGGAAAGGTGCCTTGAAGGCAAGGTCACCTTGAGGCGATGCAAAAGGAAATTGTCAACGTCAAGGAGTGTCAAGGTGCATCAAGGTAAATGTGCCACTTCGGGAAAAAATTCTCATAGGCCAGCGGCACGGCCGGGCCACTCAGCCTTTCTTGTGACGAGTTTTGTCGTTCCATGCGCCCAAACTTGTTGCTCGACGCTGAACATCGGCACTCCACCGCGCCGATCAATTTTTTGAATCTCATTTCTAGTTCTACTCTGGAACCAATAATGGCTAGTTTCATGTTTTTCAATTTGATCAATTGAACGATGCTGCTATGGCACTATCAGTGAATAAAAAGAAGAAGACAATGTACCACGTCATGTTGGATGTTTTTCCAGTTCAAGCATCCTCTGCTCCATCAGAGTGCATGTTCTTGTAAAGCAAAGAAACTGACACCCTTCGCCGAAACAACCTTGCACCGGAATTGATGGAGAAGCTTCAAATTCTCAGATTCACATCTGCTTCAGAAAGGACAGACTGCAATGACAAATGGGTGTTTGTTGAGGAGGAGATCTATGTACCCCATGTTTCGCCCCTCTGTATGGATGATTTTTTCGTAACTTGTCAATTGCTCGTCAACTCAATACCCTAAAATTACTTCTTGGCTCGCCATGTGCATATTTAGTTGACAGGTCACCTCACTCAACCACAGGGACCCTCTGTTGACCAGTACTCAGATGTATGTTACAATACTACATGATATAGTTATGATTCTACGTGGCTGCAAACTTGCTGCAAGCTGATTCTCTTTCGTTTTCCTAATCTGGAAAATACCTTGAGGTCACATCAAGGTAACTCAAGGTGACAGGGCTGTCACCTCAAGGTGACCTTCACCTTCCCTTGCGGCAACACTACTTCCTGGCCAACTTTCAGCTCAACCTATCGAGCCGATCGCTTTCAAATTACCATTTAAGTAATCTGTACCTGAAAATAATGGCCGGACCCTTAAAATATTCGATAAAATGGTGAAAAATAGCGCAATCGCTTTCTTTTTTGAAGAGCGGGACAACCCCAAAGTTTGGTAGACTTTCGTCGAGTAGTTGTTCCCCAAAAAAATTCCCAAATACCGCTGACCCAGCTCTGAATTATCGATTATTCGTGATATGGGAAAGAAGAAGCAGAAGAAAAACATCACCGGTCTTCGGAACCAGCCAAAGACGGCTTCTCACGTCAAAGATAATGTCACCGTGGCTACGGCGCCAGCTCACCCAGTGACCCATGCCGATGTCGATGATCAATCAGATAATGACGAGGGATGGGATCCACATGTTAGATTGGACAGCAATAGACCATGCTGGGACTCTGACGATGAAGAAAAGGATAGCGAGGATGAGGCTGATGTTGAAGACGAAGTTATTGAAGCTGGCGAGGATGGGTGGAGAAGTGAATCGTTACAAGTTGGACTTATGGTCCTTGCAATTGAAATTGGGGATGATCCTCGAGATGAAGATTGGATTCCTGAGGCAGTGCGAAGAAAGCATAAAGCTAGAATGGCCCAAGGTGCGTCTACAACAAATCAGAGGGCAAGATTACTTTGAAGACTGAGAGTGATTTTTTTTAGCTCGACCACGCCCGACATTTTATCAGAAAGGTCCAGATGTTGGCAGCAAATCTGACCGAACACAACGACGATACACAGACTTGCTCAAAGGTCAACAAACACTTGAGAATCTTGGTTTTGTGAAAGCAGAACCCCGAACGAGATCAAATGCAAGGGCATCCGAGACAGATAGTACACCAAGTGAAGATTCTGCAGGAGTCAAAGTCAAAGTTGAGGACAAGAGCCCTTTAATAAGCCCATGCTCACTGGCAAGTTCCCTGCCCACATCAGAGCTCGAGGATGGTGTCTGCGTGCGACAGGAAACACCAGATCCACCAGTACTCGAGTTCGATGTCGAGATACGGCAAGAGTCTTTGACTCCGCCCCCGCTCCATTTCGCCGAGTCCAGATCTCCGAGCGTGCGCATCCGTGAAGAATCCGTGACGCCGCCACCGCTATTCTTCAATCGTCCCACACGAAAAAGAAAAGCATCAGGAAGCCTAGAAAGCGAAGACTCAGAGGATGAAATGATGTCCAACCCTCTGGGAGATAACAGCGGAGAGCAACAGCGTGTTGAAGATTTGCGGGGGGAAGAATCAGCAGATGCCTGGGAAGAAGAACTCGATGAAACTCTGATACCGAATGCTGAAATTCAAGATTGGGCCACTCTACGAACTCAGATCAAGACCGATCTTAAAAAAAAGCATAAGTCCATGACCTTATCGCAGATAAATCAGCTGATGCTCTTACGGAATTTTGCAAACCTCTGTCTGAAGGGTTTTGGGAGAGTCAAAGCCAGTTTTGAGATCGCACGGCAATGGCACGAAAAGGACGAATCGAATATTTATTTTGCCCGGCGGATCCGCGCACTTGCACGGCATTATCAAATATTCGAGCAACTACCAAAGGAGCGCCGTGGAGGATCCAAGAATGCACGCTCACTTTTGAAGGAGGAAGTCGTTCGGACAGTATCAAGAACATGGCTCACCGAACAACCCATAGGATCAATAACTTTGAATAAATTTCGGCATGCACTGAACGATATTATCTTACTGTCAGTGGGTATGACTCCAAGCAAGCCACTCTGCGAACGAACCGCCCGTCGATGGCTCGTAAAATTGGGGTGGACACGGACGGTCCTTCGAAAGGGCGTATATATGGATGGCCACGAGCGCGCAGACGTTGTTGAATATCGCGAGAAGGTGTTCCTCCCAAAAATGAAAGAGTTCGAACGCAGAATGGCACGATACGAAGGACCTGAGCTGAAGCGCGTCGAGCCAAATCTACTGCCTGGAGAAAGAGTTAATAGCAGAGTTTCAAGACGAAAGTTGCTGCCAGGGGAATGATCACAAATCCACGGCTTGGTACGTTACACATTGTAAACTTTTCATTCAATTTCTGATAAATTTCGTAACAAGGCTAAAGGATGGTCAACAAATTCTACAAAAAAAGGGACGTGGCCGTTTAATTCACATTTCTGATTGGGTTGAAGAGGTAAACAGGCGATTGGTGGTCCGAAATTCTGACGGCATCGTGATCAAAGAGGCCCGAAAGATCATCTATCCAGGATCAAACGGCGATCCGTACTGGGATTGCGAACAGCTAATTGAACAGGTGAAGACAAAGGCAATTCCCATCTTCGAAGAAGCGCATCCTGGTTGCCAGGCGTTATTTATTTTCGATCAATCCTCAGCTCATGCGGCTTTGCCGCCTGATGCTCTCAAAGCATTCGAAATGAATAAGTCCAATGGCGGGAAGCAGCGCCGCCAGAAGGACACTATTATTCCGGACACTAACCCTTCTCCAGAATTCCGTGGAAAGGTACAGAAAATGACAACAGAGACAGGCAAGCAGAAGGGCTTGCAGCAAACTCTGGAAGAGCGTGGCTTCAATGTCACGGGCAAGCGTGCTAAATGCTCCCCTGTCTGCCCTTGGGAGAACAATGATTGTTGCATGGCACGGATTCTCAGCAAGCAGGATGATTTTACGAACCAGGTCTCGATGCTTGAGACCCTCATCAAAGAAGCTGGCCACGAATGTATCTTCCTCCCCAAGTTCCACTGCGAACTTAATCCAATTGAAATGGTAAGTCTAATATTTAATAAATCCCTTCAAAGCTAATAATTTTATGCTCTTCAGTACTGGGGATGGGTCAAGTACCGTTATCGTCAAGTTCAGAAGAAGACATTCGAGGACGCGAAGCAAGCGGCACTTGCAGCGCTCGACTCATGTCCAGTTGATGTCATTCGGAGATTCATCAATCGTTCCTGGCGGTTCATGGATGCTAATCGAGTTCCACTGTCCGGAAAGGCCGCCGCGTGGGCAGTTCGCAAGCAGAAGGGTCATCGCACAATTTCCCAGAGCGCGATGATGCACCTAGATGCCATCGTCCGCCCTACTTAGGTACATAGAATGTCATTGGTTTTGGTCAAAAATTTGGCCAATTTAATGGCTCGTGGGAAAAACTTCTAAGATGTGTTTTTCGACGTATTTCGTCAAGTTGATCACAATTCTGAAGTCAAATTGCCGAAATTTTCATTGGTTGCCAAGTTATCAAAATTGTCGACTTTGTCTGTCCGCGACTGTATCACGGTCCACTACCTTAACTTTCTACAATCATTCATTGACGGCCCCATCTCACAGGATTTCAGGGGGTGCCAAGGTCCTGGTCTCTGGAAGCATAACTGACTGACTGCCACATCTTTGAAAAATGGCAAGATGGCCACACTGTTGCTATATGTATGGTAAGGTGGTGGAGTGTGAAGCTTCATAGTATATACAATATCTGAAAATTAAAAACAAATTAAAAAATACGTGACATAAAATAGTGGAAAGCGGGCAAGAAAAAAATTTGTGTGTTTAACAGCGAAGTGTCAAAAGCAAAGAAAGCAAGAACAGTACATAGCAGCATGATGGGAAGAGTTGGACAATACTAAGATTTGCTTCTTGTGAGTGTGACCTTTGGGCCATCGGTGTTGATGTTGACTTTCTTCTTCCTCATGCCACGCCGACTTTCCAATGGGTACTCACATCTCAGAGATCGGCGTTGGCACTGACTGTAGGGCTGTGAATGACTGATTGTGTTGATCGTGAAAAATTTGGGACTTACTTGCAAGTCTTGTCCTTGCTTCCTGGGATGGGAGCTCCACATGCAATTTTCCGACCTCTGCAGAAGAGGCATGCAAGTGGTGGTTTCTTTTCCGCTGGACATTTAATTGGAAGAGCGGTCAATGGCATCAAGGGTCGGGGCGACACAGAACGATGAGCCCGCCACACTAAAGTGTGATGTGATGACGGGGCGTGGGTCTGATAGTCGCTTTGACGTGCATGAACACGTGGAGGATGGTCGCGAGAGGTGACTCTAACCGTCGGTTTCTGCAGGGCCGTGCGATGCCTTCGAGTTGGTGTCATTGAAGCAGGCGAATTTGGCCAGGCAGGCTCGGCCATTGTACAATATTGGGGGGTAGGGTCAAAAGGAGGGGGTACTTCCGTTATCGTTGAAATCGTACACTGGAACTTTGCAGGACTCGGAGCGGACATGATACGGTCCACCACATGTGACTGGATTTTGCAACAGGGATAAGAGCAATGCTGTGACTGGGTCGGGCTCCGAAGTTGATTGACCTGCTGAAAGGTGTTTAGGTCGGGTCGACTTTCCGGAGGTGGGGTATAAAATTGGTTGATTTGTACAGGTTGGTTAGATTGTTGTGAATCAAGGTTCTGGGAAGGGGTTGTCGGGTGGACGGCCATAGACTGGTTGCTTGCATAGTCATAGTAAAGATTTGGGTACTCAACTTGCATAGAGTCGCGATGCGGTGAAGGTTGTAACGAACGAGGGGGTTCGTAGCAAATGCCCTCTCCAAAGCCATAGTTTTCAGCCGGGCCATGGCCATGGTTCAACTGGGCATCAATTTGAGCCTGCCTGGCCGCCCTTGCCTGAGGAAAAGTAGCATAGAACTCTTCGTCGGTTTCGCGCAACGTCTGGGCAAACAAGGAAAGAGGTTCTGGTTCAGATTGCTGTTGTGATGGGATAAGATGAGGCAAGTAGAGAAGAGAAGGGTAGATAGATACCTGGACGAAAGAGTAAGGATAATGGTCAGATGGATTCGCCATGTGGGCAAAGTTTATGAACAGTACTTTTGAGAGGGTAATCACTTCACTCGATTCGCTTTGATGACACGATTCAAGACCCTGACTACCCAGTTACATAAATCCTACGTACTTACCAACGACTATGCTACCCACACTGGCTCATCCTTCTCCTCAGACGTACTATATCCCTCTCCTTCACTGCTCAGTGCCGCCCATGTGCCATTGATCACCTCATTCCCTGTTGGGATTTTGGCACCTCGTTGTCGGAGAAACCCACTCTCCTACAGTGTCTTGCATAATGCTTTGCAGCACGAATTTTTTCAAATCGTATTTGATTATATTTGTAGTGGTCACAACCAAGGCCCAACGAAATTATCCCTGTCCGGAATAGGCCTGAGTGTGACATACTAGGTCCAGTTTAAACACAGCCAAATACAATTTCAAAAATTTCACGCTGCAAAGCATTATGCAAGGCACTGTAAATAAAGGTTGTGATTACGGATTTCAGCGCAGGTGGAAATATTCTCATCTACCTGAACCCAGTATAACATCTATGCATTCACGAAGTCCTTGTATCCTCTCCATCTGTGATGCCGAGGATCGCGGGTACTTATGTTCAGTGAGTGTGTCGGCCTCAGATCAGAGTCCACGACACAACCTCATGCTGAGAATCCATCGTTGGCCTACCAGACTCACGCAGCGGCCTATTTGATCGGTGGATGGCCTACCAAACTCAGTCGCGATTCGCGAAATGGCCCGTTTTGTGCCGTCCCTGACCTCTTTTGATGGGTTTCATCTCGCTGCTAGCCATCACTCTATGCATGGTGCGACTAGGCCTCCAACTGATTCAGACTCTGATACCTGATGCAAACCTGATGGGAATGGGAATGGCCCCTGGACGCAACTTTGATAAGGACTCCGAGACGCTCGTCTGAAGCACAGGCTATCGCAGATGGGTTCAAGAGGAATTTTGGGTGGACAGCCGGATCTGCGGATCAGGTAGATACCGCGGGAGTTTGAGTCTGAGTAGTGGTTAGTCTTCACATTGTGGCAAGGGTTGGGAGTTACGCTGATACTTACGTGAATTTTACTTTGGACACTGAAGGAGAAGGGATTGTTATAGAAAGAAGGACAGCATATATTTTGTACAAAATGCAAGATAGTTGCCTATGGTGTTTCGTAAAGTAGCATAGAATCAACATATATGGGCTCGCTTGATGTTATGAAAGGTATCGCTGAGAAACGAACGACAACGAAAAGAATGTTCGAAAGGTTCAAAAGCTGACCGAGTTACACACGCACTGCGCTGGAAACTTCGTCAGTATTACACAAGACGTGATGGTAGCCAAAAGAAACTTACACCACACCCTCTCCATGCCGATACATTTTCTGCCGTGTCGACTCCATAATCCACGTCGGTCACAAGCAGAGCAAGATCGGCTCTTTTGGCGAGGGCCGTAGAAGAGAGGTGTTCCGCCCTCTCCGATGATCTCGTACACGCTCGGAGTCTCGTGCTCCCTTGGGATCGTCCTGAACAGGGCCACACCAAGCCAAGACCCTCTTAGAAGTTTTGAAGAACGATGCGAACCTCGCATCTGCGTATGCGTACCAAATCACCGCCCGGGTGCATTATCACTAACATCAGCTCCAAGACGTATTGGCTGCCGTTTGAGAAGCGTGGAAGTACGCGGAGTTGGGCAATAGCCCGTACATCCAAGCAGGAATACGCCCGGATCCTCTTCAATGCTGATAGAGACCAGGAAGCGTTGGATCGTCATGGCGAGTCACTGATGATGCTGGTGCAAGTTGGCAATGGAGGTGAGGTTTGGTGCCTTCGTGATTGTGATTATGGGGCGCATGAGGAGAGGTGTAGAGATGGTATGGCGAGTTTTGGGAGGAAGCAGAAGGAGAGTGATGCGGTTATTAACCACCAAGTCGTTGAGTGAAGTTATCAGGGGGGAGGGGCATTGAAAAGTTTGTAGGCTTGCGTCAGTGGCCATCGGCGAGATGGTTGTCTAAGGACGTAGTACGTCTTGCCTAGGTACCACACCGCTGATGCGATGTATGGCTCTACCCCACTGCTTCTAGGATACGGTTGGCGATATCTGGGTTGGGCGCGGCTGAAAAGGTCGGATTGGATGTTGGTCGATTTTCAGCGCAACTCCAATAGTTCTTATAGCAATGGGACGGGTAAAACATTGAATGCAGTGTGTAGCAGCGTTTCTGCTGGCAGTGATGTACTCGGTAGTCGTAGAAACAAATGCTCAGTTGGTTCCGAAGGATGTCTACGGAAATCGTTCGTTAGAGCTCATACCGAGGCACAAATGGACGACTCACCCCACTATATTTCGTCACCGCGCATCGTGTCTCTCAGGTACACCCTCCGGCAAGTTTTCAGAACTGTTCTGAGCCTCCGGGTGGTCCGCACAATCCGGAATCTTCTTTTTCCAATCCCGTCGCGTGAGCCATGGGAAACGTCCAGTACTGAGCATGATCCAGAATTGGTGCACAGAGCAAGGTGACGGTGTAGAGTGCTTCTAACACGGGGACAGCCTGCAGTACGGGTAACTGCAACGAAGTGCACATCTGGCAAACTAAAAATATTAACTGACTATGACAAGGGCATATTGGATGAGAAACTCATTCTCTGATTCTGGGAACTTGACCGCTGGCGCAACCACTATGTTTCCATGATGTGCGACAAGGTGATGAATGTCCATGTGGAGCCAGCTCCGGTCAAATTGACGTCCACAAGGCATCTGCTAGAAACAGTCATCCTAGAGGACACGAGGATTAGCAGTTGAAAGCTAAGTTGTCAACTGAGCAACGTCGGGAAATCGGACTCCAGCCACGGCATCTATCAGACTTTGAAAGAAGCGGGGTTAACCGACATGTCCGATTGGCAAAAGGCTTACAACGTACCAGAATGGAATATTGGGAATTGGTCGGGTGAAAGCACCGCTGCTTGCCGGAACATTATAGGCGGGTACTGGCCCGAACGCAGTCTTCTTCAGCTCGTCCTCCCCATCCTTCTCATCTGTTGTCAAGCTCTCTTCCTAAACTCCCAGTCCTCCTCTCAAACCACACCCGGTTCTCTTAGTAACTCGCCTTCCTGTTCTTCTGCGAAAGAAGTGTATGAGGTCCAACGAGACTATGAGCGGAGTTGTTCATTATCGCATTCATGTGGGAGTGGAGGGCCGGCGTTCGAGGCTCTCTGCGGAAAGACGAGAATTAGGGCATTCGGTGGGGATCTGGTGTTCATGGTAGTTGCGATGTTTGGTCTGGCGAAGCTGATGGTCGTGCTCCTCGCAAACATGTTGAACCCTGCAGAACATAGAGGTCTGATTGAATTGACGGGCAAGTTACGAACGAATACAGAAACATATGTCATCACCTTGAAGAAAGCGGGGTTAGACGACGTATGAGAGGTAAACGTTTAAACACTGTCAGCGTACCAGAGCGAGATACTGGCTTTGAGGAAATCTGCACGAAGCGGCGGGAGGGGGGCCAGACGAAAAACGTCGCTGGTTGTTCGATCATCGCAGGCGAAAAGAGGGTCTTGATGTTCGTCCATCTCATCCTCCCCATCCTTCTCATCGATCATCTGGTCTGGTCTGGATTATGGTCGGATCGGCTCGGAAGAACGTGGAATCGTTTGAAAGAATGGTATGTACGCGAGGCGTTGGAGAAGAGAATTCCAGGCTTGTTGAGGGCTAGGTGGAAGAGGCTGGTCGAGGGCGGTTCAAAGGAGGAAGTCTCCAGAGCAACGTATTGAATTTGATCAGGCTGGATTTCACCAGAACTAGTTCGACATAAACCTCAATTACGTTGTCGCAGAATGGGCTTCCTCTATCTACTTAGCGAGGGTCAATGTTGTACGTAGTATCAAGAATTCAAAAGCTTCCATGATTCTAGGGCCATAGAACAATGACGTTTCGACACTCAAATGCGGCCTCTGGAACTAATGCTGTATCGTCGACGAGCAGAGCAAGATTTTCTCTTTGGCGAGGGACGTAGAAGAGAGGTGTCCCGCCCTCTCCGATAACCTCGTACACGCCCAGAGTCTCGTGCCCTTGGGGATCGTCATGGACAGGGCCGAGGCACTCCACTCCTTACACCAAGCCAAGACCCTCTTCAAAGTTTTGGAGAATGATTGCGAACCTCGCATCTGCGTACCAAATCACCGCCCGCGTGCATTGTCAACCAACATCAGCTCGAAGACGCGTTGGCCGCTGTTCAAGAAGTGTGGAAGTACGCTGAGTTGAGCGATAGCCCAAGCATTCATATTCATCGATCATCTCCCAGGAATACGTCCGGATCCTCTTCAGTGCTGATAAAGACCAGAAAGCGTTGAATCGTCATGGCGAGTCGCTGATGATTTTGGGGCAAGTTGGGAACCGAGGTGAGGTTGTCAAGGCTTTGGAGAGTGAGGTTTGGGTACCTTCGTGATTGGGATTATGGGAAAATATATAGGGTGCATGAGGAGAGGCGTAGGGATGGATTAAGACGAAGTAGAAGGACGGTGATGCGGTCATTGGTCACCAGGTCGTGAGTCAGGTTATCGGGGGGGGGGCGTTGAAATGCTGGTAGGCTTGCTGTAAATGACCATAGCCGAGATGGTTGTCTGAGGTCGTACGTCTTGCCTAGGCACCATACCGCTGATGCGATGTATGTCTACATGCCGTAGTAATTCCACCTGCGGGCAATGAACGCTTCGATTGTCTTTTCAGATGAATCGGGGGAGGGTGAGCGGCTGAAAAGGACAGATTGGATGTTGGTGCCTTCAGCTGTGAGATCTTGTGCATTGACAAGGAATCGCGAGTCGGCGTAACGGCGTGCGTTATCTAGGACACATTGGCAGCATGAAGAGAGAGAGTGCGCTCAGAGGTCCTCCTCACTTCTGCTATGCCGCTGCATGAACGGTTGAACAGGAGGTAGTCCAAAGAGGACGGGGTCATGGTGGATTGCTGGGGTTTCTTGAGCAGTAGAGCTGCAGCTAATAAATAGGCCGGCAATGGCAGAGGGAATCATAGATACATCGAGAGTCAGTGCCCACCAGGAGAGGTCCTCATTCGTCGTTCCTGCTGGTAGTAATGAGAGATCCTTGAGTCAGAGTTTGGCATTTGGATCTTGCTCAACAAGGCTGCCAGGAACAGAATGGCTGATACTCTGGCTCATCCTCTGTTCATCTGGGCCAGGGAGGATGTCGGGCCCAAACTTCAACCACACATTCAACAACTCTCGCCGTTGGCTGCCCTTGTTTGCCGAGATTTGCTGGGATCAGGGTGACGGCGAAAGGCTTGTGTCCCAAAGTGGCCAACGACACCTTGAAATCCGGGTCGTTCTCCGAATCCAGGTTGATGTCGTGGAAGATACACATGCGTGCGTCTTTGTCGATAGGTTGAATGACTCTCGACTGCAAAGTAATGACCTTGTCGCCGAAAGGTTGGATTCCGCGCATGGTGATGAGGATGAAGACATGTTTCAGCGTTCCACCCGGCGCGTTCCATGGCGTCTCTTTGCATCCGTGGAACATCTGGGCATAAGAGGCATTCGTTGCTGAACGGTGACCGTGTTTGATTGATCGCGCCTCCATGTGACGCCGTCTAGTGCGTGTTGGACAAGATCCTGCGTCTCCTCTGGATGAGACTGAGGCTGCCGTCGGGGGGACGAGTCTCAGAGATCATTTGCGAGCTAGATGATGAGAAAGTTGGCTGGCTGAGCGAATGCACTGTGGTAGGAACATGAAGGGACTCCAGATACCTTAAATCCGTCCATGGCAGTTGACAGCCTGTTCACACAGTCTTCGAGCTTCTTCATCCTCTGTGTATGTTGTTATCAACGATGCCTTTTGCCCACCTGTTTTCTTAAGATCCTGTCCTGAGAGTGCTACAAGATCATTAGACGTTCTCAAACCAGATGCAAAGAAGACAAACCTCAGTAATTCTCTGATGTCCCCTTCCACGCACTTCATGGCATTCACAAATGCCTTCTTGCTGCCTTCGACGTCCTACGATGATGGTCGTGAGATGGCCGACTCTATCTTACAGCTTCCTGGCCCTCCCTGCAACAGCCGATGCGTCCTAAAAGTTCAAAGCCCTTCGCCGTTGCCCTGCAAGGGTGGTGCCAGAAAAAACGAACCTCGGATAGTTCAATGATTTTGAGCGCAACTTGAACCGCCTCTTTTAGCAATGGTACGGGTATAACATTGGATGCAGTGTGTAGCAGCGTTGGAGGTTGTTTCCCGCTGGCAGTAATGTAATCTGTATTCATAGGAACAATTGCTCGATTGGTTCCGAAGGATGACTACAGGCATCGTTCGTTAGAGTTTATACTGAGGCACAAATGGATCACTCACCCCACTGCTAGATTTCGTCACCGCGCATCGTGTCTCTCAGCTACACCCTGCGGCGAGTTTTCAGAACTATAATGCCTGCTTTGGCATACATACCCGCGGATCGGAGATACGAGGGCGTTGAATCGACTGGGAAAGAATATTCTCATGAGAATAATCACTGCAATTGGCCGGTGGCTGGGTTGTGGAAGTTGTTGTTCAATACTAGTAAACAAGCTCAGCAAAAACATAGTTCACCCTGTACTCCAGCTACAGTGGTGTGCAAAAAGAATGCACCAACATCCATTTTGGGAACACATGATTTTGTGACTTTGATTTCTCAACAACTACTAGGCTGCTTATAATGCACACTGTATGTGTGAATAGGTATTATATAGTACTTTATATATAAAAAGAGTTGGGCTGCAGAGTACAGAAAATATATCTGATTTAAGATAATCTGCTAAGTAGAAAATGTTACAATTTGGGGCATGACAAGACCCAGGTGGCATTCAACAAGCAGTCAATGGAAGAGTCTGATACTTTGTAGGAATGTACTATTAGATACCTTGGATGCATTCCTATACTGGATTTTTCATTTGATTCAGCTCTTGTGTAGAAACTAGCACAATAAGTTGAATGTCAGTTTTTGGCTGTTATATAGAGATTGTATAGTTCTTGTGTATAAACCTGCTTGATAAGAGAGAATATGTATATCTTGTACTCCCCATATAATATCATGGAAAAATACAGACTGTGGCTATGCTTAAACAAGACATATTTCTCACTAAAAAGTCTTGGCATTTACAGGGAGCTTAACAGATCCCTCTCAGTTAACTTTTATGCTGACCAAATAAAATAAAAAACAGTGGGATTATAATTATGACACTCTTTTGTCCATACTCTGGAAGTTCTGGGGCTATGATGCTATCTTTCATTGAAAACTTGGGTAATCTACAGATGAGAAAGATGCTTACAATATTCATATTTCATGCATAGTAAAATGGGCTTTATTAACAAGTCACTGGCAGTGGCAAACTCATAAAATAGTATGTGCATCAGTGCTTTAGAGCACCAGACTTCTAAAAAAACTAGTATAAAGCATGAAAAATGGCTGAAATAAATCATGAAAAATGGAGATTTGTTTGAACTTCCTGAAAGAAGTACAACCTCCTCACAATTTCTGTGGAACAAAATACTAGAGCTCAAGTCACTTATGAAATGTAGTCAGTGGTTGCTGTAGAGCTTGATTCTACAGCTTTTTATTTTATCTGGCCAGCATAAAAGTTGACTGAGAGGGATCTGTTAAGCTCCCTGTAAATGCCAAGACTTTTTAGTGAGAAATATGTCTTGTTTAAGCATAGCCACAGTCTGTATTTTTCCATGATATTATATGGGGAGTACAAGGTATACATATTCTCTCTTATCAAGCAGGTTTATACACAAGAACTATACAATCTCTATATAACAGCCAAAAACTGACATTCAACTTATTGTGCTAGTTTCTACACAAGAGCTGAATCAAATGAAAAATCCAGTATAGGAATGCATCCAAGGTATCTAATAGTACATTCCTACAAAGTATCAGACTCTTCCATTGACTGCTTGGTGAATGCCACCTAGGTCTTGTCATGCCCCAAATTGTAACATTTTCTACTTAGCAGATTATCTTAAATCAGATATATTTTCTGTACTCTGCAGCCCAACTCTTTTTTTATATAAAGTACTATATGATACCTATTCACACATACAGTGTGCATTATAAGCAGCCTAGTAGTTGTTGAGAAATCAAAGTCACAAAATCATGTGTTCCCAAAATGGATGTTGGTGCATTCTTTTTGCACACCACTGTAGATCTCAATGCAAAGGAGTTGAAGCTCTCAAATTCAAACCCTGAGCTTCACAAACATATTGCAATAGGTTCATGTGGTTCAAAACAATATGAAGGAAAGGATAGCAGACACCCCTTTTATTCTTGTGAATTTCTTTTGAGGGTTGAGAATGCTGCCGTACATACTCTGATTCTTCACCATCAGAAGTATCATGAAAAAGTGGTATAACAATCAATGTCATGCTCACATGTTGGTGGCCACTGTAAGTATGTATTTTGTGGTAATTTTCTGGAATTTTTACCAAGAGAAAGGTTACTATAAGTCAGGAAATCCCTCCTTTTTCTCTTTTTCTCTTTCCTTTTTGGGAAATTTTCTCTCTTTCCTTTTATACTCCCACAACCATGATAACTGGGCCGCCGTTAGAGGCAATTTATCGATTTTCACCTAGCTCAGGCTAGGCTAGAGCTGAAAAACAGCTACTCCCGAGGTTGCTGCTAGAAAATCGAGACGATGTTGGAATCCAGCAGCAGTAACAGTTGAATAAGAGAAGACTGTTGTGCTTAGTGCTAGTAATTTGTGAAAGTCTTTAATTTCGAGTATTGTAGAGAAATGAGAAAATGCGTACCAAACCCCTCTGTACACGAACCTGTAGAACTCCTTAAACCCGGGGTGTTGTCTTATACCAAGAAGTGCTTATTTGTTGTATCTTTGTTAGTTGCGCCTGTCATGGATTTGTTAGGAAATGAACACGCGAGAGCTGGGTTCGACTCCAGACAGGTCACACAGAGCGTACTAATCAATGTTTTTATTTATTTATTTACAACTGCTCCGGATTTCCAACATTCTCGTCAACTTTTCCCTTCAAGTAAAAACTCGGAGTCTCCGACTACGTGCGTTCCTTGATATGTTACTTGCTTCGATAATTCTAGATTTTTCACAGATCTGAAAGTCGAGGCGGCAGTATACATCATCTGATCAATCATTGCACATGAGGGGGAAAAACACGCTGAAAATATTGTTATTTTCACCGTTCCACTATGGATCGGAAGCTGGTTTGATGTCGGTCCGAGGCTACTTCAAAAGTCCCACTCGAGGGCCCAGAACGCTGCTCGAGCGACGTCCAGGTGGGATCTGATATCTCTGTAAACTCTATACGGGAAGTAGGTTCATCTGACCGTGGCAGGCGCGTGTTCAATGTTTCTTCAGATTTTTCTGTTGACTCTTCCGCTGTTTCTGGGTCCTGTCTTCGGCGGAAGATACGGTAGAAGAACGCAGCAACAACGATGAGGTTGCAGACAATCATGGAGATTGTGGCCTACCAAAAAGTTTGTAGAATTTAATGACAATGGTGAGAGCTAAAGGGATACACACCTCAATGTGAGCCGTCATTGTGATGATGAACCCGTCACTCGATCCAAGGCTGAAATTCCCCATAATTGATCCATAAAGTAAAACACAAAAAGTGATAGATGCGAACAGAGTTGTGAAACTCGCAGAGAATGTTATGAGGATAAGGCATCGTTGAGTTTGTGGAAGCCTGACCCGCCAAAATGTAATCAATGGAAAAAGAGTGAGCAAGGTGTCGCCAGAAAGATCCACTTCAAAAACACAGAAATTAGACGCATAGCTAAAATTACAATTGAGGAACGACGCACAAGAAGTAGCCATCACTGCAGCCTTTATGCAAGATTCTCCTTGGAACATAAGTTTGTTCCCCGTACGGCAGGCAACAGAAAGAGTGACGACACAAACAATAAATGTAAAAATAAGATAAAATGCAAGGGTCAAAGAAGCCCGTCGAGAGTGGTGGCCAGGAGGAAATATTCTGACCATTGATAAGGCCAGGCTGGTGCGACATGACCTGACAACCAGCGTCAGACTGCTGAGATGAAAGAAGGCTATATTCTCACCAGATTATCACAAACCATAACAATGTTGTAAACCAGAATGAATCAATAATCCCTTTGTCCGAGTCGTATACGACTGTGTAGAAAAATCTATGAGCGTAGCAACATGATACCGGGAGATACTTACAAGATCTGTGATAGAGCACCCACAAGCTTGCGAGGTACGTTGCGTCGAGTCCCAAAGGAAGGAGTAAAAGAAAGTCATCCCACCACAATCGGGACGCCGACCAGCGCTGAGAGATGCGGAATATTGTTGATAATAGTGCAACTGAGTGGAGGACTGTCAGAAAAACTAGATTAATTGTTTTGGGAAGAAGGTGCAATCCGTGAACGTCAAAGATGGCGCAAATTCAACGCGTTGATGAGACGTACCCATCCAAGGCTGCTGTGGCATGGCACTGGACGTCCTCCACGACGTCTTTTGCACGCAAGCGCAGTAGGGAGGGTGGTGATAAAGGTAAAGTGAAGAATATTCGAACAGGGGAAACGACTCTGACAGACTCTGACGTTGATCGAGTCCAGACGCCCATATGAATAGGGTCACGTCAATGTGGCACTGGCATTTTCTCGCATGTCAAACTGGCCCTTCGATGCCGTTATTGCCTAGGTCCTCTTGACCGGGATCGACAAACAGTCGTCTATACTTAGCAATGATTTTCGGTAGAGGATCGTCGTGGTGGCAGAGATGTAGAAATTTTCACACATGTGATGGTTCCGTAAAACTCGCTAGGTATACAGCTGTCATTTGGACAAATTATTCAGATTGAACAAAACGAAGCAAACGATGTTTCTCCCTTGTTTGCCTGTGTAGCCGCTGTTTGGCAGCAGAACGGTAGAAGACAAATAATTTGAAATAAACTGCAAGACCGTTTGCTTCGTTTGGCTCATTTGGAGTGGCCTTCAACTGAATAAAATAAATATTGTTTGAAGAAAATGAAGTTTCTTCTGTTGGAAGGTGTTCAACTGAATGAAATGAAGGGAGAGGGTTTTATTTGAATATTCAGTTGGAGAAAATGGGTTTGAGCCAAAAGGATCAAAGATGGCTCCAATTCAAGTTGATTTTTGTACCTACAGCTTGTATTTTAACATCATTGGGAGGAACATGACATGGGCTTCTCATAGGCAGAGGTAGCGGCACACTACAGCACTTTGCTAGAGATTGGCGGCTGATGCACGCCGTGTGACGGAAGGGTGCGAGCTCGGAAGGGCGGTCTTTACCTTTTTTGGGAGGGCCCAGCCTCAGGAATGCGCGCCGGAGATTCCTGACAGATTCTTAGAAGTACAAGGGAGGGTGGTGGCCCTGCGACTTCACCGAACAATCGTATATACAGGTGGTGACCTCAGTTCCCTTATCTGGAGGTCACCAGCGAAGTCACCAGGCTTAGCTGGTATTATATACACCAGTAAAAATGACGTGCATTTTGGGCACTGGGAAACAAACAATAAAATACATATGCCGTGTGGTTTGGAAAAATATGTGGATGAAGATGCCAAAAAAATACGCAGAGAAGAAGAGAACATACTTACGCAGAGAAATGGAGGGAGAAAATTGTGTCCAAACAAAATCCGCATTGCAAACAATACTTGTACAACTTGAACAGGGCAATGCCCGATTAATGGTACTCTTGAGCCTGACCGAAAGACACCAGGGCCACAACATGGCTAAGGACAGCAAACTGGTACCGGGGTTTGTGAGCTGCCCTCTAGAAATGGAGACGCTTAGCATGAATTCATCGGTCAACTTAGAATTGACGTTCATACCTGCGATGGAGCACCTGCCATGACCCTTCTCCTGCACAACTGAGAGGTTTAACACCATAAAGAATAGCCCCCCCATCGGCGTTGGTTCATCACCTGCAGGGCGGTGTGCTCGTATGTGTAAACTTGATGCCTCAGAGTTGCCACGTCATTCAGCCTTCAAAACGATAGTGGGATTAGCTCGTGGTCGAAATCCAGAGATGTTGGAGCCGTACCCAAAGTCAGAGGACGAACAAGACGTCTGCCAGCGCTTTACGCATAGGAGGTGGTGCAAGGCGATTCAATGCGCCGTAGACAGTCAAATGCGTCGGACGTTGAACGTGTCTTGGTCGACAAAAGAAACTATGGTCACGACATATCCAAGAGCAGCAGAACTGATACCGAGGTTTCTATGGACTAGTGAACTGCCCTCGAGAAATGAAGAAGTCTTAACAAGAATTGATTGGTCGAAGAGTTGACGTTCGTACCTGCGATAGAGCACTGGCGTTGACCCTTCTCCTGAACAACTATCCTCTCCTCTGCACCTCGTGAAAACTCATTCCTGCCACACGTCGTTCTCAGCACATCGTCTTAGGGACCGGAGCCTGGCGCCTATCCCTGGCGTGCGTGAATCGAGTCCGAGGGGATGATGGTACGGTGCTAATGAACGCATTGTCAAACCTAAAACTTGAAAAGAGATGGAGCGAGAACGTACCATACAAATCTGAGAAGCAATGTTCCTGACTCGTCCTCCAGTGGTAACCTATGATTGAAACGTTGACGGGCAGTGTATATGCTGCTTGAGTTTGCGTCACAAAGGCAGACATTATGGGTGGTGACCGGTCTGCATCAGAAAGAGACTTGAGCGGCACTGGATGACGGGGGAGACAAGTTGTCAGAGAGAAGAGGGCTGGATGAATCTGAGAAACACGTACTTAGTTACTCATTAGCTCCACCTCTCATGTATCCGAGACCAACTTCATTTGCAATGGACACACACGCGGTTAAACGATCCGAGAGAGATAGCAAAACTGGCTGAGCACGGTTTTCTTCCTTGGCCAAAGGTGCCGGTGGGCAGCACCTACATAAAGCATGTTCGTCGTCAGATGGTGGTGAAAAAAAAAAGGTCTGAAAGTGGGCACACGATGACACAGATAGGTTTCATGCGATTGGTCCTACCCTCCGAGTCCTAGTACTCACTGGCGTTTCTCACAGCCAGATGAGTAACGGAAAACGACAAGGTGCCTCAGGTGCAGTGAATATGGGAGCGAAAGTAAGAGTGATTCAGATAATTGTGAACAAGAAAACGTCATCAATCCAAATTGAGCTGAACGTTTGAATGCTGAGCGCTGAAGCGCTGAACCTTTATCTTCTCGCCGTCAAATTCCTCTGCAACCCCACTTTGAGAAATACGTATGCCCGCTCAATGTGCTCCATTGTCCGAACCGACTCCCCACTGACCCCACGCCAATCATAAAACAGGCACTTTTTTAAATACTTACTCCCCCTCTCTCCCACAGCGTCTCCACTACCCTCCTCTTCACCACATTACCATCTCGCGCCTATCTACATTATGCGAACATAAGAGGGGCCAGCGAGAATATAATGTAAATAGGCTCTTTGGGCAGTCCGAAGATTTTGCTTCATAGCGGTGTTGGACCAAAGGACTAAAAGACGTACTGGACGCGGTGGGCGTACCATTGAAGCTCGAGCTTCCCGGCGTCGGTCAACATCTCCAAGATGATATGGTAAGTCATGTCGTTATCACCTCTCTGGGTCTCACCAATCGCACGATAGACCACAGGTGTGGACCCCCTTAAAAACAGCTGGCGACATTTATTATTCAGGATTCGACTTCTCCGTGCGTACGCTGCTTCATATTTGCTATGAATATCCTCATAACAATCATACAGAAAGCTCTGGAGTTTCAATCGTTCATCAACGACGCAGTCGCCTTTGTCAACAATTCCGCTCTTTTCGGGTTCACCAACAATTCCGCAACATTCCAAGCTGCTGTGGACGACTCCACAAGCAGTCTTGTGCCGACCCAGTACCTGGAGGTCGTGCAAGAGTACGAGGCGGTGTATAACCTCACAGCACAAATTATGGACCAAACGGCGCAATTGGAATTGTTGCTCAGCGTTATCTCTCCGGGAACGGTGAGCATACAGGCTGTAATTCAACACCCATTCTGGTATGCTGTTCACCCCCCCCTCTGTACTAAGAAATTAACCGAGATACATATGGATTTCAGCCGTGGATCGACCCAGTATCGTCGTTGACCCACAGTACTATTCCCACTTCGCAGGCAAGCCTCTCACCATACATCCCCACTTCCCGTTAATTAATTATATCATATAGATGTGGTTATGATGCGCGAAGGCGTAAAGTTCGCGCGCAACGTCGGCGTTGCCTTCGGAACGACCCTAGGCACAGAAATCACTCCCGGCCCAGACGTCCAGAGTAATGAGCAAATAGAAGCATGGTTGCGGGGATCGGGCGCTTCCACTCAGTACCATATAGCTAGAAGCTGCTCGATGCTCCCCAAGGAGTTGGGCGGTGTCGTTACGTGGAACGGGTGAGTTGTTGTTCGGATCGAGTTAATTGAAGGTGGAAGTGAGACTAACTTGTGTTCTAGCCAATGTACGAATCGCCGACTCGTCGATCTACCCATTTGAGTTCGCCGCTCATGTACGTTGGTTGACTCTCCTATTTGCATTCCCTCCTGCTCATTGTCATCACACAGCTCGGGTCTGCGACATACGGAGTAGCCGAACAGGCTGCAGTGAATATTCAGTCCAACACATTCACCGTTGTCAGCGTTCCTCTTCCCCTTCTCTTCATTGACTGGCCAATTCGTTCGCATTCCATGCTTCGCCGCCATGCCTTTCAT